GTCAGGTCCCTGGCGGGTTCCTGGCGGGATCCCGACGGGTTCCTCTCGTGTTTTTGAGCAGGTACATATATAAGCGCTGCACTGCCTGCTACCGTTCACTTCAAGTAAAGAATACACGTCAAGTAAAGAGTAGACTGAAGTTGGCGATGCAGCGTTCAGTGCAACCTGCAAACAACTTACAAGCCCGTCTGAGATTGAGATTGGTGACAACCTACATGTAGGTCTTCTGGCATTGGTAGCTGAAGAAGAGAGGCAGGCAGAACTGGTGCGTCGCAAAAGTAACCGAGGGCCTACTTTCGAAAGTACTTCAACAGTGACGCAGGAAGTACTTCAGCAGTGACGCAGGAAGTGTGCCGTGGCAGCTCCTTGCTATTGAGCAATAAAACCACTGAATATCGTTACTTCTGATGAAATTTGGACTGAAAATAAATGCCAATAACTTCTGATTCCATTTTATTACGAAGGCATATGATGTAACAAGAGATAATGTCAGACACATTCTATTCCTGTTATGATCTGTTTTATGAAGTTGGCAAGAGAGCCGTGCCGGCTGTTTTCCCTTGCCCTTCGACATTCTGACACACAAATACAAGGTGTAACACACACAAGTACACGATGTAACACACACGTGGTGAACTGTGCGACGTAGTCTGAGGCAGGAGTTTATATATGCTCCCTATAACCCCCTTTTCCTGACCATCTGATGCACTGATCAGCACATGTGACGTCATAATCTTAGGCAGGTGCCTGTTCGGCCGCCCGACGGGTCCCGGGCAGTGAGGTTACGGCGTCGCTTCGGCGTATTTCGCCGAACGGGGCCCGAAGTGTTTTTAACTCTGAGTTAAAATCGATTCGGCGACCGCGCGAGGCCAAAAATAGGCCGGCAGCCGTTGGGAAGCCCGCCGGTCTCCGTCCAGGTCCCGTTCGGTAGTGCCAAAAAACACGCCGAACACGCGCCGAGCGGGCCCCTTTCTTGAATTGTGACCTAAGCATAAGCACCGCGAGTGTTACTAACGCCGGCCAGATAACCAGGATATCTGCTTACAGTACCTCTGCTACCAGACAACTGCCTAAACCTACGGCCTATTCCACAGGATTGTAAAAGTAGGGATGTTTCTAAAATATGCATTTACTTCAATTTAAAAACAGCTACGGTAAAAATAAAAAGACGTGCATCATCCCGGACATAATGCCACACCACATGCGAAATTACACAGAAATGCGACGTACGGAAGAATGCGTTTTGGCTACGAACATCTTCCAAAAAACTTGGCATCTCTTAAGCATGGGCAAAATCATCTGGAACCACTTATCAAAACCACCCCGTATCTGCATGATACTGTACTTGCGTAGACCGAGTACAGCGATGTAAACTTGATGGCCTATCGCCTATGTTTTTACTGCTTCATACTGCATAGCACAGATGCCACTGCTTATGTGCATGTCTTTACAGTCTATATCAGACTGTAAAGTCTATTACAGATATCTAAAATGCGGTCCCATTATACATTGTACAAATACATAAGACGTTTACGACCGTATTTTTACAATTAGACTATTATCTTAATATTGAGCGATCATGCGATGATTATAAGTAGTTCATGAGTTACAGAGGACGGGCACCTCTGATCATTGGGTGACCTTCCCCGAAACTATTTGAAAAGGGTTAACTTTATTCATAGCTGGTTATTTTGGTTATCCTGGGGATGGTGTACTACTAAAACGTCAAGCGGTTAAGTAAGG